TGGGCTCTGCAATTTACCTGGCTGCTTCTTGCTCTGACTGAGGGCTCCTGGGAGCAGGGGGTGGGGCTTGTTGCATGTGTCCGCCCCCTGGGCTCTTTACTGCCGGAGCTCCGCTCCTGTGTGTGCCTGCAGGAAATGACCCCTGATAACAGTATGCATAAATGCTGTTGTGACACCACCAACTTTATACTTGTTTAATATATTGTTTTGGCAATCTTTGATGGTGTTTTCTACGAGTGGAATTTGTATATTTGGGACTCCTGTGACCAGGGGTCATTTTGTAGAAAAAGAGATGCAGGAGCTCATTAGCACAACTCATTAGCATAACTTATTTGCATGTGCCACACCCCCTGACATCACCGGAAGTGTGTCAGAAGGCAACACCCACCGCTCAGGCTCCACTGGACTGTTTTGGACTGCAGAGTGGGGGGGAGGGGCCTCTGCAATTTACCTGGCTGCTTCTTGCTCTGATTGAGGGCTGCTGGGAGCAGGGGGCGGGGCTTGTTGCATGTGCCCGCCCCCTGGGCTCTTTACTGCCGGAGCTCCGCTCCTGTGCGCTCCTGCAGGAAATGGCCCCTGCCTGTGACACTAGTCTTTTCCCCTTGTTGTTTGGAGCCTCTGAGAATGGCTGAGAATGATTGGGTAGATGCGAAGGCTGTCAGTTCCAGCTTGGGAAATGCCTGGAGATGTTGGGAGTTGAGCCGGGGGTGGGGGAGAGAAGGGACTTCAATGGGGTCTTAATGCCACAGAGTCCCACCTTCCAAAGCAGCCATTTTCTCCAGGTGAATGGAACTCTTCACCCGGAGATCTGTTGTAATCCCAGGAGATCTCCCGCCACCACCTGGAATTTGGAAACCCTCGTAAATGCTGATCATGGTGATGTGTCTGTGTGTGGAGCTCGCTGGCTGCAGGGACCTCTGGGAAGCATAGTGCAAGGTACACACCAGTGTTCCCTCTAAGATGAGTGAGTGTGAGCTGGCTCACAGTCTTTTAGCCTCCAGCTCACACACTTTTGTCTTCGCTCAGGAAGGAGGGCTCCAGAGCAAACTGATTTATGCCGTAGCCAAATGGCTCGCTCACGGCTTTAATGCCAGCAGCTCACAAAGCAGAATTTAGAGGGAACATTGGATAAAACGCCGGGTCAGATCAATGCCAGTTCTGATGAAGTGAGCTCTGACACATAGACGCTGGTCCTGGAACACATTCTGTTTAGTCTCTGAAGGGCCATTGGACTCCCGTTTCATTTGGCTTCTGTATCGACAGCGAGAGAGATTATTTCATTTAAAAGAAAAGAAAAGAAAGAGCGCTTAACGTTGCCCAGACAGTGTAGTGCCTTAAGGGCTCGATGCTTGGTTCGTTTCATAAACACCCGTCCTTGCCCATGACTCTTTGTGCAATTTGAGGGCTCAGCCCTTCTTTTGAGGGCTTTTCATCTGGTCTGGCCCCTCTCATCCCGCTGGGCACCTCTGTCTCCCAGAACCCCATCTGGCAGCCTGCAGTGCTCAGAAGCAGAACAGGGGAAGGTGAGATCCTTTCCCGTTATGCTCCCGTAGCAACTCTGTTTGATAGAACTTATTTTTCTTTCAAAGCACAAAGGCAGAATAGGTATGGAAAATGAACACTACGCGCACAAATCCTGAGCAGGGGCGAGTTAACTCGGAAATGTCATCAGCTGAAGTCAGTCCAGGATTGTCGTTAGACTGCTGGAGTAGGGCCTGGGAGACCTAGGGCTGCTGGGCCCCAACACCCCCCCGCCACGATCAGCTGGCCAATGGGAGGGGGGGAATGGCATGAAAAATGGGGAGGGGGGGACCAGCAGCATCCTGACTAATTGAAGTCACTCCCTGTGCACCTGGAAAGGATGCCACTGCTACATCGCTGGGGATGCGCTGGTATTTGAGCAAAGTTCTACAGTAAAACCATAGGGTGTCAGGAACTTTAGGCAGGTAATCCACACACCCAGGCTTCTTCAGAAGATAAGTGTTTTAATTATGGTAACACAGAACTAAAGTACATGTATACAGCTTGTGTTAGGAATGCCTTGTAATAAGATGGCTACTAACTTATAGAATATTCAAACAGCCCCCCTCCCACCTGCAAGGCCAATGAAGTTTTCTCTCGGTGCACGGGCCCTGATAGTAGGCAAGCAGTTTTGTGCCCAAAGCAGTTACCGTTCCCAGGCCTGGGGAATTACAGCAAGGCAAAGCATTTTCAAGGCCAATTGCAGATAACAGGAGCGCTAGGCAGAGAAGCGCTGAGAATGGGAGGGAGAGAAAATCCCCCCTCACATTCCAACACCCTGACAGGGCTACCTGACATAGGGATTGGCTCAAATACGAGAGTGTCCCTGGTGCTGCTGGTGACACACTGACGTCACTTCCGGGATATGCTGGAAGTGATGATGAAGAAGAAAAGACTGGATCTATACCCCACCCTTCACTACCCGAAGGAGTCTCAGAGTGGCTTACGATCTCCTTTCCCTTCCCCTCCCCACAACAGACACCCCGTGAGGTAGGTGGGGCTGAGAGAGCTCTCTTGAGAACTGCCCTTGAGAGAACAGCTCTGAAAGAACTTGTGACCGACCCAAGGTCACACCAGCAGCTGCATGTGGAGGAGTGGGGAATCAAACCCAGTTCTCCTAAATTAGAGTCCACGGTCCTAATCACTACACCAAACTGATGTCACCGTGTCACTGGCCTGGGCCTCCCCCACCACCAGTAAGTCCCCCCAACCAGATACCGTGGGAGACTTGCCAACCTTCGGAAGACTCAGGTTCAGATCTCCACACTAACTTAAAGCTCACTGGGTGACCTTGGATTGGGGACTTTGGTATCACTCTCTCAGTTTGTGTGGATAAAATTGGGAAGGGGGACTCACGCTGAGCTCCTTGGAGGAGAGGCAGGATACAAATGTACTAGACAGACAGACAGACAGACAGACAGACAGACAGCGGAAGTGGCCGTGCACACGAGAGCTCTCACCATGAATACCATTTTGCTGGTCTTCAAGGTGCCACTGGACTCAAACTTTGTTTCACTACTTCAGGCCAACATGGCTACCCACCCAGACAGAAAGATAAAATGGCATTATGAGTGGATGTCAGTGAACTGAACAGGTCCTCTAAATTCTTCAGCATTTGTCACCAACTCCCTGTGGTTCATGCTCAGCCCAATTTGGGATGATTTTTCAGGATACAATAAACCACAGTCTGGATCAATGCTCCCTCTCAGCTGTAGAGTCTTGTGAGCAAAAATTCCTCTTTGTGATCTACCGGCATTAATGTTGTGAGCGAGTGATTTGGCTGCTGCGTGACTTAGTTTGCCTCTGGAGCCCTCCTTCCTGAGCTAAGACAAAGATGTGTGAGCTGGAGGCTAAAAAACTGTGAGCTAGCTCATACTGACTCAGCTTAGAGGGAACACTGGCCTGGAGCAGAAGCATTCACAATTTATTTATTTATTTATTTATTTATCAAATTTATACCCCGCCCTCCCAGCAAGCGGGCTCAGGGCGGCTTCCATAAAAGCATAATACATTAAAATTACACAATATTTAACCATACAATAAAAACATTATAAATACAAAGTGCTGGTGGCTGTTAAATTACCCTAGATGGTATATTACTAGAATACATTCCCACTGCCCAGATGTTCCACGATGTTTCTGCTCATAATCAGTGAGATGTTAAAACCACAGACCAAGCTCTGCAGTAGGGGCCTGCAGTAGCGGTCTGCTGTATTCAAAGACCGGTCTGCTGTATTCAAAACCTCGGAGAAGCTCACTGACTCCCCCAGGGTGCTGTAGTGGTCCTAGAAGGCCTGTTCAAACAAACAGACTTGAGTGCTTCCACTCTGCTTGGCTGATGGTGGCCCCTTTAGGAGCTGTTCCACTGGCGGAAGAGCCTCCTAACTCAGAGGAAGGTCCCTTACAGCAGGGGAAGGAGTCAGTTATGCTGCTGTAGTGGCTGGTGGAGGGGGAGGTGGTCGATTCCTGTCTCCTTTCAGGTCTGGTATGTGTGGTTTCGATTCTCAGTATTCCTTTTGTCGCTGTTTGACCTTGGTGTCTGCTGCACTGCTTTCCCTTGGAATGTTAGTTTTAGGCGGGCAGAGGCTTCTTCCCTGAGTGGCTTTGAGCCATCAGGAGACCCCGCTTTGAACCAGGTATGATTGCCCCTTTCCCGCTTTGTGAATCAGTTCTGACACTGAATGTGTATGGATGACTGGAACAATAAACTGAAACTTCATTGAAAGGCTGCTGTTGATTCCTGATAGCGGCAAGACTCTGACAGAAGGTGCCACTGTTAGCTGATCATACCGGTAGTACGAGAGTTGCCAACTTTGGGTTGGGAAATTCCTGGAGATTTGGAGATGGAGCCGGGGGGAGGAGGGCAGGGACCTTGGTGGGGTACGATGCCACAGAGTCCATCCTCCAAAGGAGCCGTTTTCTCCAGGGGAACTGATCCCTGTCGTCTGGAGATCTGTTGCAATTCCGGGAGATTTCCAGGCCCCGCCTGGAGGTTGGATACCCTAGGTAGGATACCAGCTGGATTTTTTCAGCCATAGACTCTGTGGGAAGCATAAGCGCTGAGCTGATTGTAATGTAGCCCTTGAGTATTGGAAGAACAGTACTTAGGGTTGCCAAGTCGATCTTCTGCCGGAGCAGGGGGCTCCCGGCTGGCATCTGGTGTGTGCGCGCTGCATGCATGTCACCCAAAAGTGACGTGATGACGGGAGGCACGCTGGGGGCGGAGTTTTCCCTCTGATTGCTGTGGCCCCGCCCCCAGCGTGCCCGGCGTGGTCGTGTCACTTCCAAGTGACGCAAACGTCGGGGTGGAGTTCCCCCGGGGGCCCAATCCGGCGGCGGCAGGGAACGGGCCTCTGGGGCAGGGGTTTCCCCACCCCCCAGGGGGCCTTGGGAAGCCTACACTGGGCAAGGAATGTACTTACCCTGTCTCTCCCCCCGCCCTTTTTTTTAAGGGTGAACCAGGAGCTCATGGTGCACCAGGCCAGAAAGGAGAACCAGGCCCTAAAGGAGAAAAGGTAAGTGCTCTTTTAATGTAGGAGCAGCTGTCTGTTTCAATTGCCAGTGAAATGTTTTTAATTATTTTTATTTTATGTATTTATTTATTTTTGGATGTATATCCCGCCCTCCCCAAAGGCTCAGGGCGGCTAACAACGAGGCATGGATGCCAAAGTTAAAACAGTAAAAACAGAACAAAACAATACAATACAATACAATACACTAAAGTGTCGGTGCTCTAAAGGTCACATAGGTCTTTAGTTGCAAGATGGGGTTCTGGAGTTATTAACACCAGACCAACAACATGCATCCCAGCTGCACTGTCATCCCATCTTCATCCAGGAACGTCTCGCACCCCGATGATGCCCACACGAGTGCTGGTAGAGGTGCGGTGATGGACGATAACAGTGATGGAATAGTGGTGGCAGCGGCAGCAGCTCCTACTCAAAAGCCTGGTGGAAGAGCTCCGTCTTACAGGCCCTGCGGAACTGGCACAAGGTCCCGCAGGGCCCGGATCTCCTCTGGGAGTTCATTCCACCAGGTAGGAGCCACCACCGAAAACACCCTGGCTCTGGTAACAGCAAATTTGATATTCGTGGGGCCTGGAATTACCAGGACATTTTGACTCCCCCACTGTAGTGCCCTTGGGGGAACATGCGGGGAAAGGAGGTCCCTTAGGTAAGCCGGACCCTGGCCATTTTACATGATCGATACCCCCACGAGGGCCACCCAGGTGGTGAACACACCGAAAAGATGCACAATAAAATCACGCCCGAGAAAGCATTAAAAAGCGACAACATCACATCATTGAAACATTTAAAACCAGGGCTAAAATACATTATTATTATTATTATTTTGCTGTCCAGTCCCAGCTGACTTACGGTGAGAGACGTTCAGAGGTGGTTTGCCGTGGCCCGGTGAGCTTCCGTCGCATTTAAAGGGACCCGCATTCCTTTTAAATGCTTCCCCTCCGTTGGAAATAATGGAGGATAGGGGCACCTTCTTTTGGGGCTCATAGAATTGGACCCCCTGGTCCAATCTTTTTGAAACTTGGGAGGTTTTTTGAGGAGAGGCACTGGCAGCTATGAAACCTTGGTGCCTCTACCTCAAAAAACAGCCCACCCAGAGCCCCAGATACCCATAGATCAATTCTCCATTATACCCTATGGGGACCAGACTCCATAGGGTATAATGGAGAGCCCAGCAGCTATTTCTGATAGCTCTGAAGCAGGGGGAGGGGCTCCAAACTGGGGGATCCCCTGCCTTCAACTGGGGATTGGCAACCCTAAGGTGGGCATAAAGTGCACGTTGAAAGTCCTCCCTCCCCCTGAACAGCTCTGGTTTCCCTTGGGGTTCCTGAGGCTCACATGATCACTCTAGGGGTGACATCACAATGGAACCAGTATCCCCATCGAGGCAGACCTCTTCATCCGGGGCTGCCGCCGCTCCTTGGCAGAATCGTCCTGGGGAAATGGCAGGAGCCCTTCCGACTTGGCTCCATTAGCCAAGGGCTGCCTGCCACAGGGATTGCGGAGCTGTTTCCTGTCTTGCCTGTGTCTTTCCACAAATAGACGCTCCTTCCCCTGCCGCCACCACCGCCACCACCGCAGAACTGGAATCTTTATTGCACTTAATTTGAGAGCATACTTGACGTAATGGCTTTTTAATAGCAGAGAAGTGAGTACATGGAGAGGATTCTGAACCAGTTTTGTTTTTCCTTACAAACGCCTTTGGCCGCTTGACGAGTGGATGTGTCGCCATGACTGCTGAGTCATTCCCCAAGATCATAAACATTGGGTTGTAATTAAGCAAGCTACAAGATGCATCTGACATCACTTTTCTCAAACCCTTACAGTGTCATCCTCTTTTCTCCTTCTTCTTCTTCTAGGGAGATGTCGGGACTGGTTTGCCAGGAATCCCCGGGCTTCCAGGGCCACCTGGACCATCGGTTCCATCCCGGGGATTTGTGAGTGTCTATGCCTCTTGCGGTGTCCATGCTGCGGTGGCTCAAGTGGTTGAGACGCTGAACTGCAGGCTGGAGGGTCGGTAGTTCAGCAGTTCCGAGACCCGAGTGCCGCATGACGGAGTGAGCTCCCGTCTCTGGCCCCAGCTCCTGCCAACCTCGCAGTTCGAAAGCAAGAAATTGCAAGTAGATAAATAGGTACCGCTTTGGTGGGGAGGCAACAGCGTTCCGTGCGCCTCGGCGTCTATTCGTGCCGGCCACGTGACCACGGAGACGACTTTGGACAGCGCTGACTCTTCAGCTTGGAAACGGAGATGAGCGCCGCAACCCTAGAGTCGGATTCGACTGGCTTTCGAGCAAGGGAAACCTTTACCTATGCCTCTTGTGCGGAGCTCCACCTCTGGCTGCCCTCTGGCCTTGTGTTGTGCTGTGCTTGTGGCAGAGGTTCTGTTGTGTTGTGTTTGCGTCTGGGAGGAGAGAGAGAGGACGGTGTGAGTGGGAGAATGCTTGAGAACATGAGGGGGAGAGAAAGAGAAGAGGTGGGAAGGTGTGAGAGGAGAGTTGGACTGGAGGCTGGATTCTGCCAAGATTTGCTGCTTGGATCCCTCCGTGGCGGTCGTGTGGGAGATTTGGGCACACTGGATTATCCTGCCACATCGTGTTGCCAACTCCAGGGAACTTCCTGGCGATTTGGGTGTGGAGCCTGGGGAGGGTGGAGTTTAGGGGGCGGAGGGAACTCAGTGGGGTACAATGTCATAGAGTCCACCCACCAAAGCCGCCATTTCCTCTAAGGGGACTGATCTCTGTAGTCTGGAGATGAGTTGTAATTCCAGGAGATCTCCAGGCCCCACCTTGAAGGTGGCAACCCTATGTGCCACGACATCTTATTCATTTCTTTGTTTAGAAGAAGAAGAGAAGAAGAGGAGATTGGATTTATACCCCGCCCTTCACTACCCGAAATTCTTCTCCCTTCCTCCATTTTCTCCTCACAGCAATAACAACAAAAATATTTTCCTGTGAGGTAGGTTTGGTTGAGAGTAGCGTTGCCGTTCCCCCGGTGAGGCCAGTAGATTTTGGTTGCCCCAATCAGCCGTGGCCCAGCTGGCCGGTGGTGGAAGTCCCACAACTGAGAAGCCCCCTCCCGGTGCCACTGACGCTGGCGTGATGACATCACCCAGGAACACATCATTATGTTTCCGACGTCGGGGTGGGGTGGGGATGCTCTAGGCCAGGGGTGTCAAACATGCGGCCCGGTGGCCGGATTAGGCCCGTGGAGGGCTTCTATCAGGCCCGCAGTGGAACTGGCTGTCTTCTGCTTCTTCTTCCAGTTCTGCTGCTGCTGCATCATCGTAAGTTTGCAGCTTACAGATACACAAGTGAACAGCATACTCAAGATTGCAAAGCACAGACATTTTGATGCAATAATTCAGAGCAAGAGGCAGGGCTATTTTTGTGCAGGAACGCACAGGAACGGAGTTCCGGCTGGCTCCCGAGTTGGCCACACCCAGCAGGAACTCATTAGCATAATAGGCCACACCCAACAGCAGAAACTCATTAGGATTGGCTACATTAGGGGTGTGTGGCCTAACATGCAAAGGAGTTCCTGCTACAAAAAAGCCCTGGGTTTTGACAACAAACAAGGTAAACAGAATAACAAGCAAAAGGTGGGTGTGGCTGGATGACCACACTTCTGGTAACATGGGGGTGCGGCCTAATGTGGTAATGAGTGGTGCTGTCAGGGTGTGGCCTAATATGCTAATGTGTTTCTGCTGTTGGGTGTGGCCTATTATGCTAATGAGTTCCTACTGGGCTTTTTCTACAAAAAATGCCCTTGCAAGAGGTGTCAGTTATCAGACACTGTTAAATAAACAAAATATTGCAAGAGTGCTCATGTTTTAAGCATGATATTTATTTTAAGTAAAAAAAAAACCTTTGTG